CTAGAGACTACTCTTAAAAACATTCTGCAGCCTCATTAGTGCATTAGTGTACAATTTTTTATATTATATCTGAAAGAAAAAATATATTTAACATCGCTGCTGGGCTTTTCGAAAGTTTGCCAAGTTTTTTTGCTAGAGGGTGATTTAAATCTAAATTATTGAATATATTACGATTTTAAAAAAGCAAAAGTTAATTTAAATAGCTTGAATAAATGCAGAATATCTGCTCTATGTGAAAAGATGTTTAAATTGGAAACTTATTTGTCTCTACAAGACCGTTTCAGAAACTGAAATAACAGGAAGGAGAGGCGTATAAAAGGGTCGGGAACGTAATAATCCTGTCTACATGCAGCTTGGGCAGTTTCTGCCATGTGAGAGTGGTGGGAACGGTTTCATCCAGCAGCAGCAGGCACCGAATGTAATTACTGTACAGTTCTTTCATTGTCTGATGCCTTGACTTTTCAGAATTATGTTTTGTATAGTGGTATAATTTATATTTTCAGATCTTCCAAGGTGCCAATTATGGAACTCTCTGTGCATTGCTGCCCAAATCAAATTCTGGAAGTGGTCATTCAACTAGATCTGTTACAAAATGACAACTGATATTACCAACTTTTAAAAACTGTTACGGCCAGAGGTCTTTTTTCTATGTTCATACTAAAGCATGGAATGACATTCCTCAAAACATAAAGTCCATTCCAAAACTACAGCCCTTTAAGAAGAATCTTGTTTGCCATCTGCTGGACAATTTTTGTTGTGCACATATTTAGACGTCTTATTTTGCAAATGCTGCCTTCCCGAAGTTTGGTATGCTTGTTTGTATTTGTGTCTATGGTGTAATAATGATGTGATTGTGATGCTGTAATTCTGAGTGTTTTATGTGCTGCAGAACAGGAACCTGCTGTAAAACAGCAATTATGCTGAGTCAGACTTGATTTTTAATAATCTTTTCCTGTTAAATAAATAAATCATATCAAATCAAAGCTCAGTTTTAAAGAGTTAAAGGTTTCTAAATGTGTCCTGTCACACAGATCATCCAGTCTGCAGCATTTTATTATATATTTACATATTATATATCTGTTAGCCCACCCTACAAATATCACCACCAGCCACCACTCATTATAGTTTTTCCTTGATGAGACAACAGTTTTACTGTCTGTTTCAAAAGCAGAAAATCCATCATGTTTTGTTGATGAACATACAGTATATCTGCTCTTTACATGACCTCCATTATAAACAAAAGAAACTCCATCACATCACTGAATGATGACTGACAACATAAAAAACTTGTGGGAAAAAATATGAGGGTTAAAAAGCATCTTAGACTGTAATACGTACCATGCTAAATATGTCATGGAGATGATGAAGACAAGTAGAACAAACACTCCAGCAGCGACGCCATACACCCAGGTCTTCAGTGTCCCATCTGTTCACAAACACACACAAAAAGAGAGAGAGAGAGAGAGAGAGAGAGAGAGAGAGAGAGAGAGAGAGAGAGAGAGTTAATTAACCTGTGGGACTGTAAGCAACAATCACAATGACACTGATTTTTTTCCAAATATGTTCTTCAGAAAAACAAATACAAAAAAACTGGAGAATTTGATGGTTTTCAAAATATTTTTTATTCACTGTTTATTTATTTTTACATCAGTGCTTCTAAACTGGTCTAGCTTCAGTGCCCATTATCACCTCATAATGACAAGCCATAACCAAAACTGACAGATTTTTTAAATGTACTGAATGCAAAGAAGATGGTGTAATTTGAACCAAAGGTGGCAGAATAGAATATCACTGATGCCAAGTATGGAGGACTGAATATGACACAGATAGAAACAAAAGCTTACATGTTCTCTCCATGCATGTCTGGTTCTGGGTCGCTGCTCGTGTGGTTGACTGGCTGCTCACAGAGCAATCTTTTAATGTCTCTAAGTTTTTTTTATTATTTTTTCTTAGTTTCTTAACACATCTCGTTTTCTTGCTTTTTGCTTTCTTTTTAACTCGTAAACATGAGAACGTAAACACGACAGACTCCAATGAACTCTCTCGCTGTGTGTAACCAGCAGACTTGCTAGTGCTAGCTTCTCTGCTAATGCTAGATACTGGATTTTATGGTCACTTCTCTGACTTCCAAACTTTACCTCTTCAATATGGACATGTGTAGACTTCTCTGTACATTACTTCTGCTGCACTTTCTCCTTTTATGGAGGATTACTTCCACCAGTGGACTACAGCTCCCCATCGACTAAAGTCCTGAAACACTCCAGCACTTTCAGGACCTTGGAGAGTTCCTTCAGCCCTTCACACTGTCTAAAGTCCTGAAACATTTCAGCATTTTCAGGACCTTGGACAGTTCCTTCAGCCCTTCACACTGTCTAAAGTACTGAAACATTTCAGCATTTTCAGGACCTTGGACAGTTCCTTCAGCCCTTCACACTGTCTAAAGTACTGAAACATTTCAGCATTTTCAGGACCTTGGACAGTTCCTTCAGCCCTTCACACTGTCTAAAGTYCTGAAACATTTCAGTATTTTCAGGACCTTGGACAGTTCCTTCAGCCCTTCACACTGTCTAAAGTCCTGAAACATTTCAGTATTTTCAGGACCTTGGAAAGTTCTTTCAGCCCTTCACACTGACCAAGGTTCTGAAACATTCTTGCACTTTCAGGACTTTGGACAGTTCCTTCGGCCCTTGACACTGTCTAAAGCAATGATTCTCAGCCAGGGGTACACAAGCATACTACAGGGGGTACACAGAAAAATTGCCCATGTGTGTAAAATAAATAAATAAAAATAGTACTTAGGTTTGTAGGGCCCTATGATTTCCAAAATGCAGAAACTGCAGTCAGAATCACAGAACTTGACTTCCAAACTTTACCAGCACATTTCTTCACTATGGACATCTGTAGACTTCTTTGGACATTACTTCTGCTGCACTTTCTCCTTTTATGGAGAATTACTTTCATCACAGGCGCGTTTCCCGAGGAATTACTTTGCAAGGATTCATCCAACCACGGCAACTTCACTCATCATAAACAGAAAGCAACCAGAAGAGGTAAGAAGAAAAGTGGAATCAGAGGCAGACTAAAGTGGGAGACATGTAAACAATGGCCGCTTCCCCCATTACAATATCTAAGCTAATGTACACTCACTCCATAACAAAGCTACAAGCTAACATCCACCACCTACATGAATCCAGGACTGCCTCTACTTTCGCTTTTACAGAGACTTGGCTAAAGAAAAGCAACTGTAATTGGTCACTGCACATACCCCCTTCCTTTGCCCCCTTCCTGTGAGGTTACATAGGGATGGTGAGCTATCTGGAAAACAGCATGGCGGTGGTGTCTGCCTGTATGTAAACACACGTTTGTGTTCGACGGTCGTGGTGAGGGAAAAAACTGTTCAACATAGATATCGCACTCTTGGCTGTCTCTCTCCATTCCTTCGATCTCTCCAGGGAATTTTCAGTTGTTTCTCAATCTGGTCTATATTCACCCCAGAGCTACTGCTGCCAATGCCATGGAACACATCACAACGTATTGAATAATCTGGAATGTATCTCCTCTGACACACCTAAATTTATCCTGGGTGATTTCAACCATTGTTGAAAAAGAATATAAAGATGCTGGATAAATGCTTTGGATCAGTCCCGATTGCATACAGATTGGTTGCTCTCCCCCCTCTAGGCTTTGCTGGCCATAATACCATCTTCCTTGATCCAGCATACACTCCAGTCATTAGAAGAGTAAAGAAACTTTTGTCTGTGTGGAAGCAATTGTAAAAACGTTGGTTACGTATTGTAACCCCAGATTCTATGAGTGTAAGCGCAGCCCTCTAAGGCTATCGCAGATGGGT